TTTTTTGGTATGCGGGCCTCTCACTGTTGTGGCCTCTCCCGTTGCGGAGCACAGGCTCCAGACGTGCAGGCTCAGTGGCCATGGCTCACGGGCCCAGCTGCTCTGCAGCACGTGGGATCCTCCCGGACTGGGGCACGAACCCGTGTCCCCTGCATCGGCAGGTGGACTCTCAACCACTGCGCCACCAGGGAAGCCCAACTTCCACCATCTTAATCTTCCCATTGTAAGTATATTTTCTCTAGCTCTGATATGTATATAAATCTTCTATTATACTGCATGATTCTTTAGGTGCCTCTGATCTCAAATGCAGAGAGGTATTCACAGAAACCCTTATGTCAGCTGCTCCCTGGTCCTATTCTTCAAATCCTCCAGAAGCAAAGCTCTACTCAGATATAAGCAGTGTGAGAATTTTGTATTTCTCCAGAGAAGGCAGAGGAAGTTTACATAGGGCACCCTACAGTGTTTCACAAAGGAATCCTACTAGGGTAAATACTGATTGGTCATAATGCATTTAAAGAAAAACATAATTTTTTATTATGGAAATTTTAAACATATTCAGTGATTTTCAACTCACAGTCTGATTTTATATATGTCCCAGCCATATCCTTACCTGTGCCCTCATCCTTTATCATTTTGATACATATTCAAGAAACATGATGTGTCTTTAAAAGTCCTTGCTCTTAAACATTTGATTACTACCATTTTATTTAGGATTTTTGCATTTATATAATTGAGATTGACCTGCATTTGTTTTCTTGTATAGTCCATGTTAAATTTTGGTATCAAGGTTATACTAACCTCATAAAATAAGTAGGGCAGCTTTCCCTCTTTTTCTGTTCTTTGAAACAGCTTGTATATAATATATTATTGTTATGAACTGAATGTTTTTATTTCCCCAAAATTCATACCCCCTAATGTGATGATATTTAGAGGTAATTAGGTTTAGATGAGGTCATGAGGGTGGGGTCCTCATGATGGGATTAGTGCCCCTTTGAGAAGAGACCAGTGAGCTAGCTGTACTCTTTCTCTCCTTCCACTGCCCTCCCCCTCAATTACCCAGTGAGGATACAGTAAGAAGGCAGCCATCTACAAGCCAGGAAGAGAAACTCCAAGCTCAGAATAAACAAGAACCTGACCATGCTGGCATCTTGCTCTTGGACCTTCACCCTCCAGAACTGTGAGAAATAAGTGTCTATTGTTTAACCCACCCCGTCTATGATATTTTGTTACAGCAGCCTGAGCTAAAACTCATCTTAAAAACTCTGTGCCTGGGGCTTTTTTTTTTGAGGAAAGATCTCTGATTACAGGTTCAATTTCTTGAGTGAGCATTGTGTTATATTCAGATTTTTCTATTCTTGATTCAGTTTTGGTAACTGAAATACTTTAGAATCAGCAAGGTCACGTTTTCATTGGCAGGGGGTGGGGAGTAGACTGTGTCCCTGATCACTGTCTGTGCCATCAGATCACTGTCATCCAAGCCTGTTTTCCCACAGTAATTTATATTTTTCTGTGAAAGTGTCCAATTTTATCTAAGTCTTAAAATTCACTGGTATCAGATTTTTCATGGCCTCTTTTCATTCCTAGTCTTAATTGTGCTTTTTTCCCCCTTTGATCAATCTTGCCAGAGATTTGTCTGTTTTTATCTTTTCAAACAATTAGTTTCACTCATCACCTATATGGTTTCTTTGTTTTATATTCCATTAATTTCAGCACTTATTTCTATATTTTTCTACATTCTTCCTTTTTATTATTTTTTTTCTACTTAAACCCTTAGATCATCATTTTCATTTTTGTTATTTTTCCAAAAGTGCATTCAGAGGCTGTAAATTTCCTTCTAAGTACTCTTTCAGCTATATCCCATAAGTTTTAGTTGATAGCACTTTTGTCATACATTTCCAAATATCTTATAATTTCCACTATGATTTTTAACTTATGAATTATTTATATGTCAATTTTTATTTTTCAATTTTACTTATTTCTACAGTTTCCAACCATTTTATGATTTGTGAGAATTTTTCTTATTGATTTCTAATTCCTGTGCATTATGATAAAAAATGTGATTGATTGGTATGATATTGACTCTTTGGAATTTGTGGCAAATTGTGCCATATAGCACTAGTACTATGTGGTCTAGTAATATGGTCAGTATTTATAAATGTTCCATATATACCTGAAAAGAATATTTATTTTTTATTCATGCTTTTCAATATATTTGTTGTTTAAATCTTCTATATCTTTACTAATTTTTCTTGTCTGTTTCATGTATCTTTTGTCTGTTTTGATGTTTTCAAGAGAGTTGTTTTAAATTCTTCCATAGATTAAGAATTGACAGTTTTCCCTTCTGTCTTTGTGTATGTCTGAAAATGTCTTCTGCTCTTACTCTTAACTCATTTTAAGTAAGATTTCAGTTGGTAAAGAATTCTTGGTTGACAGTTATTTTCCCTCAGCAGTTTGAATACTTACTCACTGGCTTTAGGGCTCTATTGTTGTTGAGAAGTATCTCTTGTTATATTGGGCAGTCATTTAGAACATATATTTTCTCTTTGGTAAGCTGTAGGTAGAAAATAAACCTCTTTGTCCTTGATGTCTTGCAGTTTTACTATTTATCCTGTTCAGGACTCATTTTATATATTCAGTCTAAGGAAATTGTTAATTATTATCTCTTTGAATATTGCCTTTCCCCCACTTATTCTATTCTCCTTGGATTCCCTTTAGCTGTATGTGAAACTTATTTTATTATACCAGTTGCTTAATTTTTCTCGAATATTTTTCTAGTTATCTAGCTCTCTTATTCACTCTGGGTAATATCCTCTAGTCTGCCTTCTAATTCACTAGTTCTCTCTTCAGCTGTGTCTAGTTTATTGTTTAATCCATCTATTGATAATGAAACATTATCAATAAATTTTCCATTTCTTGTCTTTCATTTGATTCTTTAAAAAAATTATAGTTGATTTGCAATATTGTATTATTTCATTTGATTCTATTTCTTGCAGTATGACTTATCCCATTTGTGCTTTTTTGCTGATTCTCACAGTGGTTCATTTACCTGTATGGTTTGTACTTTTTGACTGCAGGTGCATCTTCAGATTTTTTTTCCCTTGTAGGAGTGCTGAGTTTTGGAAACATTTCCATAGGTAGTTTCACCAATTCCAGACTAGTATTACATTAATTTTTCAACTTGGTCTATGTCATATGAAGTGAATTGGGTGTAGGAAAGTCTCTAGTTTTCCACCTGTGGTCCAGGGGAGACAGCCAGATTCTTTGCTGCTTCTTGAATCTAGTGAGTGGAGATATTTGTAATCCTCACTCAAATAAAGTCTTCCTTTAAATACTTTATGCAAGTCCTCGCACTTAGTTTCAGGTCCAGCTCCATGCATCATATAGGCCTCATCTCCCATCTCTACAGGGGCATCAGAATCTCAGTCCCCAGCCTCCTGGCTTACAAGCATTTCCAAAACTTGGGGGAAGAGGTTATTTAGGTTTCATTAAATCTTGCCACTTTGATTCTGGCACCTGAGAATTTCTCATTTTGCTTCTGACCTTGGTTAAGCCCTTGGCTATGCCCCCCCCCCCCAATCTTTTCCACCAGGAGCCTTTCAAGTTCTTCAGCTCTGGGTGAGCTCCTTTAGTTCCTGAATATCTCCCCTGGGCTCAGGCTTTCCCATTTCTTATTCAGAGTAACTAAATACTCAGTAAGTGAAAGGTTCATTCCACCAAGGCCTTCACTCTGTATTCAGCAAACTAAAGACCCTCCAGTTACTAGGACCCACCCTTGCCAGGAAGCAGAAGAGGATTTTACACACACACACTCACACTCAAAACACACACACATATTTAATTTTTTCATATTAAATAAAAATTTTAAAAAGCATGTGTGGTAATATTGGGTTGAGGTTCCTGAAAGTTTTACTAGTGATAGAATTTTTTAAGACTTTACCTCTATGGGGACTTCCCTGATGGCACAATGGTTAAGAACCCACCTGCCAATGCAGGGGACACAGGTTCGATCCCTGGTCTGGGAAGATTCCACATGCCGCAGAGCAACTAAGCCCGTGTGCCACAACTACTGAAGCCTGCGTGCCTGAGCCTGTGCTTGCAATGAAGAGTAGCCCCCGCTTGCTGCAACTAGAGAAAGCCCGTGCGCAGCAATGAAGACCCAATGCAGCCCCCCAAAAAAATAATAAATTAAAAAAAAAAGACTTCACCTCTATGTACACACTAGTCGACCAGAGACCACTTAGAAGTACAAATGCAACAGTTACAAAATCCACACAAGACACAGATCAACTGACAACTATCACCTAACTTACACAAATAATAAAACAGCTATTAATACATAATTCACAGAAATTATTACTCAAATTACAACAGCTACTACAATGTGCACACATTGTAGCTCTAATGTATTTAATGAATGAAACATTTGTTTATGTTAGCACTTGTCTGACTGTAGTCAGTAGAACCATTGTGGTTATTTCTAAACGAGGTAACAAGATACAGCTCCAGATTTGCAGACCACAAAGAACTCTGTGCTTTATGAGGAGACCTATGTGCTCTTGGAAAAGAGTGTATATGTTTAAGGTTTATTATTGGCAAGGTTTTCTAAGACATCATACTCAAAAACTAAATGTTCTGGAGAAGTCTATGAGGAGAAAAAAAGTTGTAGGAGCTATACTTATGGAACTTGAAATTGCCACTGTAACAC